GAAGACATTTCTTGGGGAATACGTGACGGTATCAAATAACATTATATATCATCTAAAAGGAACAAACTCCTTGATACTATTGGGAAAGAATTATCTCCATGTTTTATAGAATCTTCTGAATTATGCTGTGGATAACATTTTTGACAGAGTTCTTTCGAGATTAATAAACTTTTATGCGTTATGCCCTGTATTTAATTCTCCATGATTGTTTTGTTCTGGTAAACTCACGTATGTTATTACTGAACAGACCACTACTGGTCATGGCCTTCGAGAAAACGGCTCCTCCACCTCCTAAATAGGGCAATTAATGTGGGAAAAAAGGCTTCTATTTCTTATAATGAGAAGGAAATTCATGCATTCCATATAAAATAATGCATGAAATGTTTTCTTTTATTGATTAAACGAAAGAAAACCGACACACTTCCATGGCTATATCTATATCTATGTAGATATATATTTCTATACATGTATATATTTACATATATGTATACATATATACATATCTATCTATCTATACATACACCCACACACACATACACACACACACACACATGTATATATATATATATATATATATATATATATATATATATATTCATATATATGTATATATACATATATGTATACACATATACATATCTATCTATCAATATATATAAACATACATACACACACATGCACACACACACACACATACACACATGTATATATATATATATATATATATATATATATATATATATATATATATATATATATATTTATATACATATATATATATATATATATATACATATATATGTATGTATATGTATATATATTATATATATACGTATGTATATATGTATATATATACATATATATAAATATGTATATATATACGTATATATATATATATATATATATATATATATACACATTCATATATATATATATGTATATATATACAGATATATGTGTATATGTATATAAATGTATATGTACATATATATATATATATATATATATATATATATATGTGTGTGTGTGTGTGTGTGTGTGTGTGTGTGTGTATATATATATATATATATATATATATATATATATATATATATATGTATGTATGTATATATATACACATATATATATACACATATATAAATATACATATGTATATATATATATATATATATATATATATATATATATACACACACACACATGTAAATGCTTATATATATATATATATATATATATATATATATATATATATATATATATGTATATATATATATATATATATATATATATATATATGTATATACATATATATATATATATATATATATATAAATATATATATACATATATATATATATATATATATATATATATATATATATATATATATAGGCATATACATGTGTGTGTCTATATATATATATATATATATATATATATATATATATATATGACTGAACGTATGAATATATAAATATACGAATTATATATATATATATATATATATATATATATATATATATATATATATATATATATATATACATATATATGTATGTATATATATATATATATATAGGTAAGATAACTTACCCTAATCTAATCAAACTTAACCTAACATAACAAAATGGAAATGTATGCCAATTGACAAATTAAATGTGTAAAGATTAGGCTTAGATCAGTTTGGGTTAGGGTAGGTCGGATAGGTTGGATAAGTTAGATTAAGTTGGGTTTAGTTGGGTTAGGTTAGGTTAGATTTCGGCTAGGTTAGGTTTATTGCATTAGTTTAGGTTAGGATTGCTAGTTTAGGTTAGTTTATATTTATTGGTTTGGTTTAGGTTATGCTATGTCATGTTTCAGTTTTGCTTAAGTTAAGGTTCGGTTAGATTATGTTAGGTCAAGGTAGGTTGGGTTTGGTTAGATTATATTTATTAGATTAATGTAGAAATGGTATGAATGAGAATGAATATCTTCACAATACAAGAGATGTATTTGACTGGTTTCGATTATATCATCGTCAGAAGATATAATTAGAATAAGTTAGGTTTGCTTAGGTATGGTTAGATTAGGTTTTAATTGTTAGCTTAGGGTAGGGTAGGTTAGGTGGCTTAATAGTTATTGTCAATAATATTTGGTTAACACTTTGCTTTCTTTTTTTTTTTTGGGGGGGGGGAGGAAACATAAGCAGAAAGTGAATAATGTAGTCATCATAGAAAACAAAGTGTCCGATTATAAAAATTATAATCAATGATTAAGTTGATTGGAAAATAGAATAATAACATGTAATTACTGATCGTGTCTTTTGGTTGAGTATGTCTCGTTAAATTACAGATAACCCACTATATAACCTAAACAAAAAAAAGTGTTTATGACGATCCTACACAAAATTCATTTTTCGAAGAATTAAAAATCCAAATTTCTAAATGTTTAGTGTTTCCTTATATCTAACCTCATACCCAGGGTGTATTTTCCAAAGGTCCTAAAACGAATACTGCTAGAT